TACCTGTGTGTGTATTAAAATGTAGATGTATGTTTGTATATATAAATATATGTATCAGTTCGTAATATATACTTACATATTTGAACACATATGCACAGGCTTGCAAACTTGCATAGATTTATGTTCTAGTGCTCATACACAACTTGAAAAGAGATAAGTAAATAATAATCTATCCAGGTTAGCTATTCAAGTAGAACATCTGTAGCAGACCTCTAACCCTAAAGATTAAAAAAAAAAAAAAGTTAAAACATTTTTTCAGTTTCTTTATTCACTAGTCCTGCAGAATAGAGATTTCTAAAAAGTTCTAAGTTCCATATCTAAAGTGTGAAAAGCAGAGGTTGCCCTAGGAATATGCTCCATGGAGCAGAGAGGCAAAGAGCTCTGTGGCTCCTGCCCAGGCAGGTTACACAGTCAGAAGGCAATCATTCAGGCGCACCAGCCTGAGGCATATGTTTCTGCCTCAACATTCTGGGCCTTTGTCAAATAAAATGCATTTGGAGGAGGAAAAGAGAGTGGCCCAGCTTCTCACCCCAATCCCAGTTTAGCTCTTGGACAAGCCAAATTTTCTACACCACTTTGGGGTCATTTTTCACCTTCGGAAAGACAATGAAATTTCCAAGCTGGGAGAAACTGTTCAGGAGTCAGCTGGTTGTGTGTGTATGCGTGGTGTGTGTGTGTATGTGTCTGTGTGTGTGAGACGTGTTGTGTATGTGTGGTGTGGGTGGTGTGTGTATATATGTCGTGTGTGTGTGTGGTGTGTGTGGTATGCGTGGTGTGTGTGTGGGGTGTGTGTGTGGTTTGTGTAGTGTGTATGTGTGTGGTGTGGTGTGTGTGTGTGGTGCGTATGTGTGGTGTGTATATATGTGTGCTGTGGTGTTTGTATGTGTGTAGTGTGTTGTGTGTGGGGTTGTAGTGTGTGTGATATGTGTGGTGTATGTGTGATGCATGTGTGTGGTGTGTGTTTGTGGTGTGTGGGGGCGGTGTCTGGTGCAGGTATGTGGTGTATGTGTGGTGTGGAGTGTATGTGGTATATGTGGTATGTTTGTCTGGGTGTGTGGTGTGTGTATGTGGTATGTGGTGTGGAGTGTGTGTCGTGTATGGAGTGTGTGTGTTTGTGTGGGTGTGTAAGCAGCATGTGGTATGTGTGGTGCATGTGTGTGGTGTGTGTATGTGTGTATGTGGTGTATGTGTGGTGTGGAGTGTGTCTGGTGTATGTGGTATGTGTGGTGTGTGGTGTGTGTATGTGGTGTGCGGTGTGGAGTGTGTGAGGTGTGTAGAGTGTGTGTATTTGTGATGTGTTTGTGTGGGTGTGTGAGCAGTGTGTGGTATGTGTGGTGCATGTGTGTGGTGTATGTATGTGGTGTGTGTGGGGGTATGTGTGGTGCGGGTATGTGGTGTGTGGTGTGGAGTGTGTGTGGTGTGTGTGGGTGTGTCAGTGTGTGGTGTGTGATGTGTGTAATGTGTGTGTGCACATTTGAGGGTGAGAGAGCGTTGGTGCCTCTCCATCCCTTTCAATCCCTGGGTGCTGGGTGGGGTCATCCTGGTGCCCAGCTAATGGAGAGTGCGGCAGTGCAGTCTCCTTCAGGGCTGGTACTGCCAACTTAGCAGTCAGTTGCCTAGTGGATGGTGCAGAGTCACCAAAGGAACTTTCTGGAAAAAACTTTCTTTGGTGACGAAAAGCTCCAGAAGTGCTTGAGAGACGGAAAAGTGTGGAGGTGAGGAAGTGCTGAGGGAAGAAGAAATGGAAGCTACCACAGAATGAGGCGAATTGATTCCCGGACATGGGATTGGGCAAGGGGAGAAGAAAAGAGAAAAGCTAACACCTGCCTAGGAGGCCCGGCGCGCTGCAGGCCTCCGCGGCGCTCGGCGTCTGGCTGCTCCTCGGTTCTGGTCCCGGCGCTGGGGCAGCGCACGGTCTCCCGCACCCGAGCAGGCTGCGCGGCCCGGGGAAGGGCGGAGGAAAGTCCGGGCCGACTGGCGGCGGGCAGAGAGACAGCCAGCGCCGCATCGCGGGGTTCCCGCCCTCGGAATGGGAGCCGGGGAGGAGGACTGCATTTCCCAGCCCTCCTCTGAGCCTGACTGGTGCTGGGTGTTCAAGGTTTCCCGGTTCAGGGTCTTGTATCCTGGGCAGGGCGCCCTATGAAAACCAACTGCGGTGAAAACTTAAAGAACAGGGAGCGCGGTTCAGAGGGCCCGGGGCTGGGAGCCCCTCTCCCACGCCGCGCACCCGTGCTTACAACTAGCCCGCGCAAGACTGCTTGCTGCAACACGCGGGGCTTTGGGCGTCGCACGGCCGCAGAGCTTACGGGTGGGACTCTGGGACCTTGGGGACTTGCCCAGAGAGCGTCCGGTTTCCATCTTGGCTGACCAACGCCTGCAAAGAGATGTGTGGGTCCCGGGCCTTCTGGTTTCCAAGGCCTGTGGGCGTACGCTGTACCCTGCAAACCCATCCTGGGGAGCATAGGCGGCCCCACCCGCAAAGGCCTCGGAAAAGTAGAAAGGCAAGTGAGGCCAGGGACTCATCTTCTGGGCAGACACGACTGGAGTTCTCTGGCCCCAAGCGCTGGGTCAATCCTGGGCATTCTTCCACTTATTGGGATGCGACAAATGCTGGTGAAGCAACCGCTTGGCTTTCAATTTCCCGTCCTTAGAACCTGCGATTCCTGAGCTGGAAGCCCGGGCACCTGCCTGGACGTTGTGGGACCAGCTTGGCTTGATGCCTGTATGACCCGTGACCTCATTTCCTCCTCAGCTGTGAGTGGCCTCAACTAGTTTGGCAGACGGGTGGAGTTATAAAATCCTAGAGACTCCCCTCTGAGAAGGTTCAGACACGGGAAAGGGTTATGATACCTCTGAACGCTTGAAAGTGCAGCATTAAAATAAAACATTTCTGAGTTTGCCTTGGCTGAAGGCAAAACTAGCTTTGGGTACTTTTCGTCTACTACTTCCCGCCAAAATGGCCTTGTGGGTAGATTGAACAGCATAGCTACCCAGCCCGAAAGTGGCTGCCACTAACACACCTACCTGGATCACCTGGGCAGTAGCTCAGCCAAGGCTGGGCTCTCTTCCTGATCCTATGATTAAGTTAACGACCATACAAAAGAAAACACAGGGGAGGCTCACTGAGTGTCTACTCGTGGCAGTGTCTACACGTACTCTTTAGAAAATATGATTCCAACCTAAAGCCGATTTCAAAAAGCAATATTTACCTTTTTCTAGACCTCAGTTCATCCCCGTTTGAATCTGCAGTGGAAAGTAAAGCTGCCTTACGGAAAAGGAGATTCTAGAAGGATCAGATAGAAAGGGGGCATTCAAGAATTTTTTTTTTAAGGTAGGCCCTAGGATAAGCTGTGTGTGTTTGTTTGTTTTTGCTCCAGAGATATAGTGTCCAAGACAGGGACAATTTAGACTGCCTATCAGGCATTGTGATTTAAGGATCTGTTGATTCAATTTGCCTTCAATTTGCTTCCTCACTTCTTGTCATCAAATTTTCTTCACAATCTTGACCTTTCTCTAAAAAAGACCTCTTTGTGTTCAATTGGAGCCTGATTAACTCATCACAGAAAAAAAAATTCCCAGTGCTAGAAGTACTTTAAAAATAGTAGAATCTGCTTTGCTTATTTTACAGATGAGAAAACCAAGCTGCACGTAAATCAAATTATGTCAGCAAAGATGCAGGGTCACACTAGTTGTGAATAGCAGAGGTAGAATTAGAATTTTGGACCGTTTTCACCATCTTGCTGGGGTTGAGTGTTTTAGATTATCCAAATGTTGCCTAGGAAAACTGAGAGCAGGCCTTAAAGAAATGTAGCAAAAAAAGGAAAAACTACAAAAAACAAATTGGATGATCTTAAAGAACCCCACCTGCTTTTTTACCAATCTAAGTCACATTCCCAATAGATACATCACTTTGCTGTATACCTACTCTTAGCCTGCTCCCTGCCCTAACCGTAACTTGCTTTGTAGAGGTCCTAAAATAATGAAGGCTTTAATATCCTATTAGGGAAAACCACTGCAAAGCCTGTAAAGAGACCTCTGTACATTTCAGACCTTTTCACAAGTATCCACCTTCATATATAGGGGAGAGTCTTCAGAATGTGAAGAAAGGAGAAAAAAAAAAGTCGGACAACTCCTGTGATAGCTACACCAGTGTAGTGCCTGTTTCCAGAGTGACTATGGAGATGCCTGTGGATTAAGTGCATGCTATCTTAAGGCCCAAAGGATCATTGTTCATTTGGTTTTATGTCTAATGGTTACTGGTCATACCACATACACCTAGACTTTGTACACTCAATATTTAACTAAGAATTATTACCAGTATGTAAAGAGTACAGAAGTACCTTTCATAAAGGGAAGAGTAGAAAGAGGAGGGAAATTGTCAGGTTTTTCTGCATTATAATGTTTCAGGACAAGTTTTTTACGGAGGATTTGCAGTTGTCCATGCCTTTAGAAAGAAAGCTGGGCCTTGCAATACATAGACCACAATCAACCATAATCATTTCACCTTTGTTTTTAGGGAAACTCCCCCACAGGGTCTCCTAATAGTTTATGACAAAATGCCATTGTAATGACATTAGAGTCCAAGATAGCCTTCTATGTAGCCATCACTAGTAGAACCTAAAGTGGGCTTTTCATCTGGTCTCACAGATCCCAGCCTGAACATTGTCTCAGGCCATTTGTGAAGATGCTAATTATCCTGCTGCAGAAAAGAACGCTGGTGTCCCAGTGACGGGTTAACTGCATGGCAGGCATCTTTGTCTAAATGATTTGTCTTTGATCAAGATGCCCAACACTTTCCAGCTAAATATTTTCCAAGTGACAATAAAAACTTTTCTCCTTTTAGGCTCAAAATTGGCTTAAATAAATGCAAACGGTGCCAGGTTTATAATTCCTCTGGTGCTATTTCTTCCCTTCTTTTCAGGAACTCAGTGAAAATGAATGGCATTTAGTCAAAGTGCAGTCCTCAGCTACAACAACAAAATTTTAAAATTTCCCAAATATTTGCTTTGAAGAAAATAGTCATTTATTGTCAAAGCATCCAACATACTCAGATAAACTATAAAGTTTAATAAATATTTCCAGGGATAAAAGAAACACATAACTATTCAGACTCCATTTCACTGGCACAAAATTACACTTTGTATTAAAAGGAAATACATATTTACATAATTGATGACATTCTTCATTGAAGTCCATAATCACATCATTACACATGCACTTCCCCCTGGAAACTCAAATTGAATGGCGACTCCTTTTTATTCATTTTGTTTATTTTTGTAAGAACACAAACGATCACCAAGAAATGCAAAGCATCTCACCCTCCTCCTTTATATCTAAAATAAATTTTGCCCTTACATATAATTATTACATCTAAACCGTAAGTGCTTAATAATTTAAGTAGAAACGTATGACAAATGCATCAATATGTTGCAATATATGACATTTTAAAAAATGTACCTTTGTTTTGGGGAAAGTGAAAATGCGTGCATTCAAAAGAAAACTCCCACAAACAACCCACCCAATCAAAAATCCACCATCCTGGGGTGTGTGTGTGTGTGTGTGTGTGTGTGTGTGTGTGTCCCGGGTAAATGTCTCAACGAGGTTCCTGGGAGCGGAGGACATGTGTAGTGTGTGGGGGTGACGTATGTGTCTGTGTGCAGTATTTTGGGGTGCAAGGAAGCTGTGGATGTTCTCGCATGTTTATTCCTGCAGGTGGCTTGACTGTGCGTGCGCGCGCGTGGAAAGCTGGGGTCCTTTCGGAGTCAATTATGCGAGGTCATGTGCCTGGAGAGGTGGTGGCGCTCCCTGAAGGACTCGTTGCAGATGGGGCACTTGAGTTTCTCCTCTCGCCGCCGCTTCACCAAGGGTTCCATCGCATACTCCTTTTTGTGGTGCGACCTCATGTGGTACACCAGGTCGGAGGTCATGCGGAAGGAGGCATTGCACTTGGCGCACCAGTTCTGCGCGGGCAGACACAGCGAGGTGAAGGAGGGCGGCAGCAGCGTGAGCGCCGAGGGCAGCTGCAGCTGCAAGGGCCCGGCGGCTGCAGCCGCAGCAGCGGCTGCAGCGGCAGCGGAGCTCTTGGGCCAGAACGCGGTGGCGTACAGGAAGGGGCTCTGCTTGGGCAGGCCGCCGCCGCCGCTCGACAGGGACCCGCAACCTCCATTCAGGTCCGCGGCCCCCTGGAGCTTCACTGCTAGAGGGTCCGCGGCGGCGGGGTAGAGTCTAGTGGGGCCCACGCCGTCGGCAGGGTGGCACGGCTCCAGCGCGCCCAGCTTCTGGCCCAGCACCAGCGGGGACAGCTGCGAGAAGGAGCGCGCTGGCTGCGAGAAGGCGCTTTTGCGCTCGTCCGACGGGGCGCCCTGGCCCCCGCCCGCGCCGCCTGCAGCTCCGGCGCCCGTGCCGCCGCCACCGCCGGTGCTGCCCGCGCTGCCCAGCTGCTGCACCGAAGTGAAGGCGCTGCCCCTCGCAGGACTGCCGCCCTCGAGCCGGCTAGGCAGCGGGCCCCCGGGCCGCGGGGCCAGTAGCTTCTCGGCGCCCACCGGCGACGGGGCCGCAGGCGTGGAGGAGCCGCCGCCGCCGCCGCCAGAGTCCTGATCCTCGGCGGCAACGCCCCCGCCGTCGGCGGTCCCCTCTTCCTGCAGGCCGGCCGCCCGGGCGGCCTTCTTCACCTCCACGAAGGCGCTGCGCTTCGCCTCGCCCGTCTCGGGGCTGGGCGGCGCGAAGAGGCGGCCGTTCTCTTCCAGGCCGAAGTAGCTGCCCGAGGCTCGGTACTGCTGCGGCGTGCACACCAGATCCTCCTTGGAGGCCGGGAGGGGCCGCTCTGCGAAGCGGCCCCGGCCTCCTACCAGCCCCGCGCCACCGCCGCCCTCCGCCATCTCCTCCGGGAATTTCCTCTTTCCTTTGCCGCCGCCAGTGGCGATGCCGTCGGGACTCAGCTCCGCCTCCTGGTGGCCGCCGCCGCCGCTGCTGCTACCGCTGCTGAGACTCTGTGCTGGGGAGCAGCTGCTGCCTCCCCGGGAGTTTTCCAGCTCCCTGGCCAGGTTGTGGAAGTCGGTGGATGGTTTCGCGCTGCTGCCGCCGGCGGCAGCGGGTGGGTTGCTCTCGGGGGAGGGGGCTGGGTAGTGGTGGAGGGGGCCAGCTTTGCAAAACTTGGGACCCGGGCCTAAAGGCGCCTCCTGCTGCTGCTGCTGCTGCTGCTGCTGCTGCTGCTGCTGGTCTTTGCCACCGCCTCCGCCGCCGCCGCCGCCCCCGTGGTCCTTGGTGCCCACGCCGCCGCCCTGTTCGTCTTGGGGACTTATATCAGCGCTGTGAAGTCTCTTGGGGCAGCGGAAACGCAGATGCGCCACATAGGGGAACTCAAACTGGAAACGTTGGCTGCATTCCAGGCATGTGTAAGGGGACGACCCTGCTTAGTGAGCAAACACCACACGCACGCACACACACACACACACACACACACACACACACGCACACCACATGATTACTCAGCTTCACCTCCAAGCCAGTTTGCCACCATCCCCTTGACAAATCCACCTTCATTTCTCAGGGCCTGAGTGCCTGAGAAAAGAATGACCAACCTGATCTAACTTTCCCCCTGATTTGGGGGGAATACAGCAAACAAGCCAAGTGTCCCCGCTTTATCCTCACCTATCTGTTTAGCTTCATTCCGCACTATATCTCGGAAGCTTCCTGTGAGACACCCAAAGGGAAGAAAGGCGCGCCAGCGGGCTGGGTTAGCCCCGGCCGCTCCCCGCGTCTCTCCCCCGCTAGTGAAGGGCCCACACACCGGTCGCGAGCCAACCTACCATTCATTTTGTTGTGGGATCTAGAGGGGCAGAGCAAGAGTAACTCAGTCAGTTCTTTCCCGTACCAAACTAATAACTCCTCGTCTTTGGCAATCCTGCGGAGAGAGCGGTAGAACAGCTGTCCGTTTTTTATATAGGCTTCAAGGTTCTGCTCTTCCTTATCTCTGGCCGATTGGACCAATCGCAGCCACATGAGACCTTCTGAGGAACCATTTGCTGCTGAGGTGTCTACCTGCGGTTTGAAATAGAAGCAAGAAGACAAGAAGGAGGGGGAGAGGGACCCCATGAAAGAATTGAAATCAGAAGAAGCAAGACCATTTCTTGTTAGTCTTTTCCAAAATTTATCTGAGACCACGCTTCCAAAAATTTGGCCCAAGCTGGACCTGTCATGTTTGTAACCAGTAGGGAAGATAACCATTCTTTGAAACACTGCATCATCATATAGATTATTTAAGTAGCCGTTTTTATATATTGATTGAACACTAAATGAGGGAATTTCTTCTTAGAATTTAGTGTTAACCTCTTGAGAGTTTAATTCTAAGTTATCCCACATTACAAAGATATAGAGAATTTTGCTTGTTTCAGAAATAAAGCAAGCTTAGATCTTAGAAATTATGCTATGGCAATCATGTTCCTAATCTTGGCTTAAACAATTAATAGCTTTTCTTTGTGAAGAACAATAGGAAATGAGAGGCCTTATATCTTCCAATTCAGGCATATGGATTTAATGATGCTTTACTGGCAAAATCATTAACATTTTTATCTAAATACAAACTCTAGGCACTAGCTAATATTACTAAAGAAACTAATATTTAGGGGATGAAGAAGCCTTCTCAAATGGAAGGCAAGTGTACCCAATACTTGTCAAAGAACTTGGAGAAACTAGTTAGTATGCAAATAGCCTCCGCCCAGTGAAATCTCCCAGAGTTCAGGAAGTCGTGTTCATCAGCAGGAAAACCCGGAACTGAAGCATTGATTTAGACATTTCTAACGTTCCAAATCAAATTCATTTATTCCAAAAAAAATCAATTGATAATAATTTGAGTTTAATTTTCCTTTTCGAATTTTTGATGTGTTAAATGGGATTGCTTACATTATTGGCATTTTCCACAGGTAAAACCTATCTCCACTTGTCATTAGAATTATTTTTAGGCCATTTCCAACAGGACGTTACCCTCATACACCTACACAGCTCCAGCGGAGACTTACCCGAAAGATATAAGGTACCGTTCTCTTGTCAGTAGACTTGAGAGCTATGAAAGCTATGCTGTCATATAGGGAAGTATGGCTCAGGACACAGGGACCAAATATAGCATTCTCAGGGATGTCGCAGGTGGTGTAAACGCTGGTAAAAATATCTGTCAGACATTGTTGGACAGCCTTGGCATCTCCATCCCAGATGCCTCGCTGGATGCCCGTATCCTCCATCACTGGAGATAGACACACAGCACAAGAAAGTGAGTTACATTAACGCTTTGACCGCCATTAACCCAGGCAGAACTGTTCAAGTGCTAGGCAGATTTTCCTTACACTTGCCTGATTTTTTGCATAGCTCTTATTTCAAAATTAAAGCAGATTAACATGGAATATTTTAAAGATAAAAACTAAGGGATACTTGTTAAAAGAACTAGAATAGTGAGAGATCTGGAGCTGACTGCTTGAGAGAAAGAAAAGAAGGGGCTAGGAAAGACTAGATCATTTTTTTTTTTTTTTTTTTTTGCATTACCTTGATGTTGGATTGGGTAGGTTTTGGAGCTGAAGTTCAAGGCATAATAATACATTTTTTCTTCTTCTTCTTTTTTTTAAACCAGCCTATAGACCTTCCTTTCTGAAAGAAACTTCTAACCCTTGGGGGAAAGTGCCTCTAGGTCTATGTATTGAACTGGGTGCCCGGGAGCTGATTTTTTTCTTTTCTTCCAAAGAGGGGAGTAGCATTAGTGAGCAGGCGGAGACAGCGGAGCATGGCGAATGGATTTCAAGTGGAGTGTCAGGGCCACTAATTCTGTGTCAGCTAACCTTTCTCTGCAGCCTACAAGAAGGGACGTATGTCTACTCATTACCATAATCCAACACTGTTCCTCTGAGGCTTTAATTAAAAGCAGCAAGCAGAGGTAATTTTTTTTTTTTTTCTGGGCATGCTTATTTATGGATGAGAGTGAAACCGTGTTACCTTGTTATACAAGGGGGTGGATTGAATCACATGTGGCTCATGAAGTAAGCAGGTACAGGACAGGCCTAAAATGTCCCCAGTCTGAAATACTATGTGTAATGACTGGTGAATTGTCACTCCCCCTACCCCATACGACCCTGTTTGGGCAAGAGTGGGCAGCCCTGCTTGAGCACTCCTCAGTGAGCTCTCCAGCTGTTTAATCCACAGCAATTTAGAAAGTAATGCCCCAATGGAGGGTTCTCTATTAAGCTGTCATAAAGGGACATTTTCCTTCCTCTGGACACCTTGTACAAGACTTATCAGTAAAAAAACAAAACAGGTATTTAAATTTTTAAACTAGCTTTGAACTAGGTACATTGCTTAGTATTTCAGACTAATCAAAAGAGTCCTCCAAGTTTGTTGTTCCTTAATAATGCCATGATTGGCAATTATTTATGTTTCTTTTTATAGTTAAAGTAGCAGGAAAGCATAGATCTAATTGTTTTCTTGCAAAGCTGTTCATTGTGGAAGAATATCAGTGACTTGTATTTTTGTTTTAATTTCTATTAACCAATTAACCTTACACGTGTGATTACAAGGCAGTGCTTTTTTTTTTCCCCCATTCCAGCCAACATAGCCTAAAACTTTGGTTAGTCTCATTTTCCATTCATCCTCTTGCATCCCCCAAATGTCAAGTGTTGGGCTGTATCTCCCAGGCAGCAGAAATAAGGGAAAATATCAATAAAGTAGAAACTTTCTCATGCTACATCATCTATCCCTGGACATTTTTACCCCACACAAGGTAGACATCCTGATTTTTCATTTCAAGTTAAAATACATTTAAAAAAAAAAAAAAAACCCATACCCTCTCAACCCCTTTTCAACGGACTCCTATTCTCTTCTTTTCAATTTTCTTCAATTCAGCGTTTTATGCCCCAATTTCTCTCTTCCTTTTAAAAATCTCTTTCACACAAGCGATTCATTGTGCCGGGAGGTCGCCCTGTCACTTCGGGCAACAGCAGGGACACAGTCATTAAAATGCAGTTCTACCTAACAATACGGTGAAAAGGTCCTCACTACGCCGCGCTAATAGCTGTCGGAGTCGCGGCGCCAGCCACCCAAGCCTCAAGCCCATCACAATAACCGCTGGGCAACAGCCTGGGAGCGCCCGCCCGCCTGCGGTCGCCTTTGCCACCCAACCTTTCACAGCTCTGTGCCCCGCTGTAAGCCGAGGTTCTTAACCGCCTGCCCTGAGAATCCGCCCCAGAGCCGGCGGGACTCGCCGAAAGCCAGTCGCCGCTGCCAGCCGCTAGCCCTTCCCTCTAGGCAGGCATTGTCTAGCGGCCGCGCGCTCCCCAGTCCCTGGCTTCTCCGGCAAAGCGCTCCCTACCCGCTCCTCCTTTTGTACAATATTATTGGCAGTAGAGAGCCCCTCAACAATTATTTTTCTCTCTCTTCTGGATAATAAGGAGACGGGAGACAAAATTTTCTACTCTTTCCACCAAACTGCCTTCCTCCCATCCCCCTCCCACATCAATGCAAATAGACTTACCAGGAATAAGGTCAGTATAGAATCTCCCAAATAAGGCCACCTGGAACCGGGAAGATGCGCAATACAGTGTTTGTTTTTGCCTATTGTATCAGTGTATTTCCATGTCAAGAGGTATTGGTGTTGCCGTCTTTTAGGCTCTTCCTAAAGAGGTAAGAGAGAGATAGAGAGATGGGGAGAAATAGATTGGGGGGTGGAGGGAAGAAGGGAGGGGAGAGAGAGCGTGTGTGTGTGTTGAGAGAGAGAGAGTGAGAGAGAGAGAGAGAGAGAGAGAGAGAAACGGAGAGAGTTGTACAGATGGACCCGATGCAGTGACTGACTGGCACGCAGACACACACTTTTTGTTTGCTGCACATAATCTGCCCAATGACGCGTGACAGCCCACGTTCCCTCCCTTTAACTCTTTGCTGGGCCAGGCGCTCCCTCCGGCGCCGCCTGCCTCGCAGCTTTTTCCCCTGGCCCGCCCGCGCCCCGCAGATCCTGAGCGCCTACCCCGGGTGGCAACGCCTGTTAGAGAGCGTACCGGCACGCCTTCTCCTAAAATTCGGGCCCTCTGGGACTGCTAGGAGGGGAAAATCGTTTCAGGATTGCACAGGAAGGTACCAAAAGGATTGGAGATGGCCTTTCCCTGTTTCACTAGGCACTTGGAGAAGCTATGGCAGAGAGCTGGACACCCAGCGCGCGCGGACCCCGGGCGTATTTCCCCGGGAGTCCGAGTTCCGTGAAAGACAAAGGGGTGCGGTTGGCCCCAGGGATTCTCTAGCTAGTTGCCTGGGGGTGATAAACGGGCGCCGGCTCTACAAGAGCGCCAACACTACCAAGCTTCCCCCTGCAAAATTCAGAAAGGATGCGCTTTGGTGAGAACTTGCCTCAGCCTTCCCATAACTCGGGAGATGAGGTTGGAGTGCAGGCCCCAGAAGGGGACATAAAGGTACCTCCTAGTCCCAGGACACTGGTATGTGGGCGGAGGTAGGGTGGAGAGGTTGGTGGGAAGAGCGCAGGTTACTGGGCTCAAACAGTTGCTGGGTTTTTTTTTGCCCTCGGCTTGGTGCATTCTGCGCAGTCCCGGAGGGGGTCCCATAATGGGTGCTGTTGGCACTCTGAGACCTTGGGTTTGCGGGGCAAGGGTGATTGAAAGTAAAAATGATTACCAAGATGGGCTCCGGAAAGCTTTTCACATCTAGCGGGTGGAGGAGGAGGAGATGGAGTTCTCCAGGCTGTCTCGGGAGCCTCGTTTGTGCGCTAAGCCACTTAGAGGCGCTGACTTACCCCTTTAGTGCAGCAGCTGATGCTAATGACTTGAGGTATTTAACAGCCTGCAAGTTGAGTCTTCCACAGGGGCTGCAACACCATTTCGCTGGGTGATCTCGGGCTTCTTTTTCACAGTTCAATTCTCTACTCCTAAGGGAAGAAAGGCCTTTCAGTGGTATAGACAGTCCCTCAACTCCACCCACATACCACTACTTTGAAGTGGGCAATCTTTCAGCAATAGGATAAATCGGATTGTGTAGCGGGCTAAAGTGGAGGAGGCAGAACCACAACTTAAGGAGACAGCCTCGTTGCTGCTGCTGTTGTTGTTTTTCCTAGTTTTGAAATAATGTATTTGGGGAGTTGTCAAAGAGCAGCTTACCATGTTAGCTGATCCTCTCCCAGCTTTGAGACCCTTCTCTGGAACACAGAGGGGCACTGAGGCATTAATAGCCTGGTGACTGCAGTCCCAGGAGGCCAGGGGAGGATTTTGCTGAGGAGAAACAAGTAAGTACAAGGACTGTCCCAGGAAGTTCATTTTCTTCCTTGGGCTCTCTCTCTCTCCTCCCCCCGCCCCGTGTGTGTGTGTGTGTGTGTGTGTGTGTGTGTGTGTGTGTGTGTGTGTTTCTTTTTCTTTTCTGGTCAGTACCCAATGCAAGTTCCGAATCGCTGCCTAGGACAAAGCTGAAATTCACAGAAGAGAGGGCTGCAATATCCCCATACATTGAAAGAAAGTGGAGAATCCCTTAGTTTTCAGGTTAGCTACTGACTTTTCAAAGAAAGCTTCTTGAAGTGCAGTTTTCTTTAATCTTAATATATCATCTCTCTTATGCAAGTATGTGCAGTTTTATGTACTTTCGCTGAGGATGACTCCTAATGACCAAGGCTCAGTGCAATGAGGGCTCTCTCACATGTCTGTATATAGGAATCAGGTGTTGTGCTGAGCTTCCAATTGTCTTATGACTGATTGCTCCATTGAATACTAGATTCATTTCTCTCTCTCCCTCTCTCTCCACACACACTCTCTCTCTCTCTCTCTCACACACACACACACATACACACACAAAGCATGGACACATTGCCCCCTAATACTTCTTTAAAGAATGGGTGGAAGATTTAGAAATGTCAAAATCATGTCTCAAACATCTGGAAAATAAACCTCAGGATTGAAGATAGTGGCCAGAAACTTAAGTGAATTCAACGTAGAAGAAAGAAGAAAAATAAAGGACAGAAGAGGCATGGTTATAAACTGCTGCAAGTCAAGACAGAAAAGTAGCCATGAGAGAGTCATGTGGTCCCTTAGAAACTACAGACTGATATATGCAAAGTGGTGTGTGGGGAGCAGTGTTTAAGAACATAATTTCAGTAATCTGTTGAACAGAACACTCCTTAGTGCTTTCTTTTGGTGTTATTTAGAGAACTGGAAGTTTATCTTTCAGGAAAAGTCATCTGTCCATGCACATCATTAAAAATTTATCTTATATATTGTAAATATATAAGCCTCTACTCCAGAATATGGACATTTAGAAAATAAAATCTAAATGGAAGGCATTTTTCTTGTGCCTGGCCTTTCTCTTATTGAATATAGAGACCATTTAAACTATGTTTCTTTTGAGGTACTAAAACCTTGACTCCAGCTTGTATAAAACAATGTTTTTGGTACTTAAGTTGAGGGTTGAAGAGCTTGACCTTTTAAATCTCAAGCTAGAAAATAATGACAATTTTATACATTTGAGAGGGGAGCAATTTATTGAGAATCTGGCCAGCAGATGCTTCCTTTCAGTTTCACTTTCTTGCCCTCTAGTTAATTTTTTCCTTACTGCTTTCAGGTAAAGATCCTTAAATATAAGAATTTCTCACGTTTTATGAATCTGACCTACTCTTTTTATTATGCGGTAGATGACTGACATAACAAAACAATATAGGTAAGATTAAGTTGAAATTCCTACTTGGTAAGTTTTCCAGTAATTTAAGTGGTACACATTTTGCTTGGTAATACAAATGTCCTAAATGACAATCATTAATAGGGGATAAAGAAAATCTGCAAATTACTTTTATTTCTGTAGAAATTTATGGGCTAAAATGGTACATAAACTACTTGGAAATCACTCTGCATTAATACTTACTGGAATTCGCTGATACTAAATGAAGGGTTGAGGCATTTATTCAGCCTCAGACAGTACTATAAAAATGTACCTAGTCAATAGCTTTATGTAATTCACACGGAACAATGGGTTTATGCATATATTTGGAGCTCTATTCCCTAGGATTTTATTTCCAATTAAGTGATTAGAAGGATGACAATGAAGAGTTGGTATGCTCACCTTGTTCCACTCTAGCAAGGCTCTTTGCTGTCCTGGCAAAAATACACATGTAGGAAACTGTAGTGTTGTTTTGGAAGAGAAGGCTAGAGAGAGGTTGATAAATGATACCCAAGGTGGTGCCTTTTATGACCTAAGTGAGAGGGTGGAGAAAGGGTGAGAAAGGGAAATTTAATTCTTAGTATTAGAATGGGAACACCCTTTCTCTTCCCAGGGTTGAAAAATGAAGCCCAAAATATTTCAACTTCTGTGATAAGAGGCAGGTAACATTTCCAATAATAATTTAAGTGAAGATTATTATCCTATGAGAATGGAAACATACTAATTTTCTTTTTCTATACCTTTCTAGGTCCTGGCTTACCCACCTCTAACCCTACTGCCAAAACACTACACCAGCAAAGGCTTCATTGTCAAGAGCATGGCAATTCATGGTGAAAGGAAAAAAAAAAAAAAAAAAAAAAAAAAAAAAAAAACCCATACACTGGAAAATAAGAGGATGGCAATGGAGCAGACAGTGGCAGCTCCTTCCTAAGCTTATTAATTTCCCACATGGAGGCCTCAGGAAGGGGCTGTGGAGGCTGAGGGAGGCAGAGAGTAGTTCTTCAAGGAGGAGTATTGCATTACCTAGCCTCACCATTCAGAATAAGGAACTTTTTAAGGGATAAACTTGATTGACTACTTGTACATGAAAGAGAGACAGAAATGATGGGCTGGCCAACTAAGAAAAACACCAGGCCTGTGCCAAAAATGTTGTTCAGAGGTTGTTGACTCTTTTTCTACCATTTTGCCTTTATCAAGAGAATGATACGTGGTGGGGTTTTTAAAAAGAAACACAGAGGGGTTTGCTTGTTTGTTTGTTTTACATCTTGGTGAGTCAAGAAGAGGCCTGCTTGCTGATTTGGATAAAGAATGACCTGAGGGAGTTGCGTGTGGGGAGGGGTGCTTGTTTTTTATAAGTATACATTGCAATCTCCATTTGGGTCTCTTCCTCACCCTAAGTATTGTAGTTGGTTCACTGGGTATTACAGGAGCAAATGTTTTCCAGCCTGGCCCTGGGAAAGCCAGAGACTCAGAGTTGGGTAATTTTGTAACCTGTGAGGAAGGACTTCAGGCTCCCAACTGTAGGGGTCATTATTCCTGACTCACATTTATCTCTCGTGGGCTTTTCCTCCTAAATGGTCCTGCTTTTAATGCTGCTGCTCCTGTAGCTGCCACTACCACTACTATCATGACGATAGTTATCTACCTTTCTCAAGTTTAAAATTTTCTCTCTGAGCATTCCCAAGTTTTACTTACACTTCTGTTGCAGTTCAGCTGAGAATGGGATACTCTTTGAAAGCTATCTGTTATCTTCCTCTCCTGGATCTGGGTTGTAGTCAACTGGCTTAATAGCCTCTGAGTATGACTTTTAGGGGGGTTAGCAAACCGAAGTGATATTGGAGGCAACTACCAACAGGTATGAAATCAGTGCCTCATACTCATCTATGTGAGTGTGACCTCTGAACCAAATCCAATATCCAATATTTTGACCCCCTGGATTCTCCCAACTTTTGTAATCCTCCCGAGATCAGTGTGTAAATATCTGGCAAGAAAAGGCCTGGATTTTTGTCAAATCTGTAGGTTCCAAAGTCCCTCCTAGACTCAGACATCACAGACCAACTTTATACCTGAGCAGAAATTGTCATCTATGTGTGTATGGGTATGGGTGTGTGTTTAAGGTTGGGATGAATGTTGTCAAAGGTAGCAATTAAAAATAAGTTTTAGGACTGTCATTTTCCTTGAATGCTTGTTCATTAAGCATCCAGTGCTCTTTGTTGAATGTTTTCATGTAAGATGGTTTTGAGAAAATAGTTTGTGTGAAGTCATACAGTACAGCGATTGGTCCCAAGGGAGCAAATTGAATAGAGTTATAAAGCTTTGAATGCATCTCAGTGTGAGGGGGGTTGCTGATTGTAGCCGAATCTCCATCAGCCACTCTGAACGTCCTTACCCTCTGGGTCAGACTTTTTAGACAGACTCGGGATCAGGGTATGTCTAGCAGTCTCAAATTTGTGTCCAGCAGTCTCAAATGAGATTTTGAAAAGTCTAACTCTAGGCCTTGGGAATGTGACAACATTGAGAGGCTCTACATCAAATTTCTTTACACAGCCAGGAGAATGGACGTTATCCCAAGATTCAGTACCTGTGTGCCACCCCTTTTCCTCTCTGTTTCAGGTAGTACGTAATCCCTGAGTTAAATAAAGAAGCAACAATAGACACACAGCATATATATCCTGAGCAGGCTACACCCCTTGGCATCCAGTCCCAGTTAGCTTTCTGAGGTGTGGACTGTGAGAATTTGGGCTGCTGGGGAAAAAGAAGCAAAAGGCTTGGCTTTTCTGGGAAAGTGGTCTAAGCAGGGGGCACAAATGTCCAGTACTTGAAATACACCTATGGTACACATTCTGGAGGCCCGAAGAGAGAGACATTTCATTTTCTCAAGGAAAAGAGAAGTGAGATAAAGAAAGTAAAAACAAAGGAAGGAAGGAGGAGACAGAGAAAGGATTTGAGAAGTAGATACCAGTTAGGAACTACACAGTGATGATTCACATTGCATTGAAGAGTCTTGGAAATGTGGTTCAATTTCTTTACAAATTATGCTCCCAAACTGCTCCCTTGCTCATATTGCCAATGGAATGCTTTGAGTAAAATCTATCCTTCATGATTTAAATTCAAATGAATCCCCGGCATTCTATGATTTAATCCAGGGGTGTTAATTTAGCATGAATGAGGGATGTCTCCCTAAACATTACATGAAAAGCTGTTAGTTTTCAGAAGACTTTCAAAAACACTCAAAAGCTACCAATGTAAGTCTTTCCTCACTGCTAATACTTGGAAATGTAGTCTCCTAAAAAGAAATACAAAGATCAACATGTCACAAATGATAGCAACGTCATGACTACTACAAACACCTGTGGACTTACATTATAAAGTGGAGGAAAGAATAGGCAAGGATTGTAACATAGTTGTTCTCTTGAACTTGCTGAGTGAAAAGCTGCTTCCCAGGCTGATTTGATAGTATCTGTAATGCAATATAGTAACCATGATATCACTCATAATCTCCTTTTAAGGAAGTTTAAAGGAAAACTCATATTTTTAAAAGAAATAATATCCAGAATTGCTAAATAAAACACTCGTAAATTCTTAAGATCAAACATATTAAATATAATGACCTGGATGTTGAGATTTGCTAGGCCTAGAATTTAACATAGGCCTGAACAACTTTATACCTGAGCAGAAATTGTCCTCTATGTGTGTATGGGTGTGGGTGTGTGTTTAAGGTGGGGGTGAACATTGTCAAAGGTAGCAATTAAAAATAAGTTTTAGGACTGTCATTTTCCTTGAATGCGTGTCCACTAAGCATCCAGTGCTCTTTGTTGAATGTTTTCATGTAAGATGGTTTTGAGAAAATAGTTTGTGTGAAGTCATACAGGACAGCAATTGGTCCCAAGGGAGCAAACTGAATAGAGTTATAAAGAATATATTTCCTGAGTATAATATTACTGTCTAATGCCTTGTGTATGATCAGTATGTCTAATACCTTGTGTATGATTTTGTGTGTGATCAGCTGTCCCACAGCATTATCTACATTCTAGAGTCAGTTTACTGAAGCCCTAACAGGTATATTCCAGGTAAGTGGGGTTCCCCTGAACTTGTGAAAATATCCTCTAGAAACCTAATGCCAATGCACTGAATACAGCGAGTTTCATTTCTTGCCTGGGGGACTGAATTAGCTGCTCATCCTCAAGGCCCTACACAGCTCAGTCTGAGTCCTAAGTTTGGCCAGCAAGATAAGGCACAGAAGTGTCTGCTAGACAAGGACAATCACTGATGTCTAGATTGTGCGGTGCCCATGTCTCAGTAAAAGGTGCAGAGACAAAAGTAAGAGTCCAGAGAAGGCCAAATGACAGACTTCAATGTGGGCAAACCAGGTTTCCCTGGGAGACATTCAGGGAGGGCAACGCCCCCACAGTATCAGGAAACGCAGACTCGGATCACACCGTTTGACTTGATTCACCCAAGAGTGCAGAGCCCTGACATGGGAGGCGACTGGGGCAGAACAAAACAAGCCATCGTCTGCCCGGTGGCGCCCTTATAGACGCACAGTGCACAAACCGTGAACTTGGGGCAGTGTGGGGCCAAGCGGCGCTCTTGGTACGCTCCAGATGCGCCCTGGGCGAAGCAGAGACAACGTGCAGTTCCCAAGGGCCCGCCACATTTCCCAAGTTCTTTAGCCTCCCATCGGGAATTAGTGCCATCATTTGCTTCCCTTTAGGTAACCACTTTATCTGCGGAAAGGCGTCCAAAGGGCGGGGCCTGCGGGAACCTAGCCCTCTTTCCACCTCTCTCTCTACCTGCCTCTGTTCACGACCTCGACCAGCTGGTCGCCTGATCTTGTCTCGCGGGGCACGAGCCTGTGTTTCCATTTCTTACTAGCTGGGCTGCCAGAGACCTTGCTCAGCCTCGGTTTTCCTCCGGTTGAACTAAAGCTGCCAAGAGCTGCCTCCCGGATCGCAGTGAGGACTCTAAGGGAACGAGGGCGAGCGCGCTTTGGAAAGCCAGTTGCTGAGCAGATGGTAAGGGATCACTTCCAAGAGTCAGGGCTAGTTTCATTTCAGTCTTGGACACGAGGTGGTCTCAATGCCTTCATTAATGAACATTCTCCTTAGAAGTCTGGAAAACTGACCCAAGAAGAAGGACCAACAATTGAGTGTCGGGCAAGCCCACAACTCCATAGGGGAACCAGGGCTGCATGGGTTCAAATCCTAGCCCCCTAGAGGTAATTTAACCTGTCTGTACTTCAGTCCTTCATCTGTGAACTGTGGGCAGTTAAGGGACACTTTTCATAAATTAGGGCTGAGTGGATACTCAGCAAGCATAGAACAACGCTTGGTACATACTAAATACCCATTTCAGGGCTGCCTATTGTGACTAACACTGCCTTTCCTTCCTCATTAGAAAACTGGGAACTGTATTGTGCACCCACTTTCCAAGTGACCCAGCGAGGGCTGAGGATTTCCCGAAGTTTCTAGGGAGAAACGGAAGGAAAGGGAGTCATCCCTTTCCTCCTTCCCAGCCCGCACCGCGCACACCCCCACCCCCACCCCTGGTTTAATGGAAGAGCAATCAGTTTGCTGAGGAAGGCCTGCCTGGTAGATTGAGATTTGACCTCTATCCTCCCATGCCCATCTTGCGAGTTGCTTCTTTAAGCCTGGTAGCGCCAAGGGTCAGGATCGCTGTGCCACGTTAGAAACGCAGGTAAGTCAGGGCTGTCAAAGGCTGATCCGGAAGACGCCGTGGGTTAAGAAGCTTATGAACACGTTGATGGTAAACTCTAGCGCCGCGGCCAAAAGCCGAGGTCTGGGGGTGTACAGAGAAACCTGGGGGATCAGGCCTCCCGCGCTGACCAGGGCTCTGGGCCTCTGAGAGCGCAAGCGACCTCCCCTCTCCCGGGAAGCTCTGTGGCTCAGATGCCGACAAGGCGGATGGCCCCAGCCGTCCCCTACACACCCAAGTCCCGGAGCTCGGCAGGACGAGGTTAACTGGTGACCAGAGGCCGCAGCTACACCATTGGCACTGGAGCTTCGTGCAGGGCAGGTTCTCCCCGTGGCTGCCTTCGCTCCTTGTCCCAACGTCCTCACGCGGGCTTCGAGCGGAGCACTGTGGGCCGCACGACAGACGGGGCTGCCTGTCTCGGGGTGCCCAGCGGAGCCTCCCTCCCCTAACCCACGCCGCTTTTGCGCACGCGCAGCCCGAGCTGGTGCTTTGCGTTTGTCCCAGCCCACCGTCTCACGTTACAAGAAACTTCCCGCCCAGTCTAGGACTGGGGATCAGGTAACAGCGGTCAATTGTGGGTTTCCAGTTGCTCTTCCTTCCGAAGGATCCAAGAGTCAGTGGTTAAGAGTTTGATATTTGGGGTTTTGAACACTCAGGTCTGAACCCCAGGTCTGTAATCTCTTACCTGTCTGTTTGCGCAAATCACTTGTTGTAAAATAGTAAAGACAACATTTATTTATAGGGTGGCTTTGACTATTGCCGGTCAAGCCTGGGTTCAGATTCCAGCTAGGCCACCTGCTTGAGTTAGCATCTCTATGCTTTTGTTTCCTGTAAAGCAGGGGGATCTGTGAAATCCTGGTATTATAATACTTAACATCAGTAACGTAATACTTAAAGGGTCAGCATAAGAATTAAGTGTGATGAGGCTGGCAGAGCATTCAGCCTAGCACAGAAGAAATGCCCCAAGTTTACAGCATCTCATTGTCTTCTGCTTTGGAATGCTGAGTAAAAAGAATTTTTAAAATATCAGCTCTCTCCTCCCACTATTTTTCCTCTTTGGAGAGAAACAAGACGCAAAGATGCTTGCCAGAATGTGGGGTGGTAGTGCCTGGAGAGTTGGAAGGAAGTACCTTGTGGTAGAAAGTTATGTGACCCGTGTGAAAGCTGAATGCTGTCCTCCTGGCCTTTTTCATTACCTTCTCTTGGTGCCAGGCTGCCAGTAGGCATTTAGGGCTCTATATGTTAGAAGCATTTCTGTGTGACTTTATGTTATAGATCTCAGGAAAGGGGGTGTGACACTACTCTACAAAAACGGACTCTGAGGACAGGAGGAGCAGAAGGATGCATCACCCTGCATATAGAGAAGGGGCACAACCTAGCAAGAGACCCAGAGCAAACCTGACTCAAGAGAAGTTAGAGAAGTAAAACTCAGGGAAAGGGAAGAAAAGAGAAACGATATGGACTATATTGTGGTGAATTAGGCCTCCAGTATAGGGTTGGACTCTGTATATCCCTCAAACATTGAAAATCCAATTTGGAGCCCCAAACCCTAAATTCACAGGCATCCCCTAATTATCTTCACAGCTCGGACTCTTTCAAAGTAGAGAAGCACACCTGCATCACCAAATGCCGCATCATTTCCCCTCTCCTTCAATATCAGTATCCTCCCCTGACTTCAAATGGGAGCTCTTCACATTCTTTTCTGTTCTTCATCGATAATAAAATAATGAACAATGATATTTTACCCATCAACTAAGAGAACATCCAAGAAAACATGACCTGAAACAGCATTCGAGAAGATATTTCTCTGCTTTTTTTCCCCCCTGAGGGCAGAGAACGCTGATACAGCAACAACCTGGAGTATTTCGTAAACTTCTGGCTCTTAATCCACTATCCTAACGAAAAGGGGCTGTCAGCAAAAAGGAGAATAAGATAAAACCAATTCCTCAGTGTCTGACCCCCAGGGGGGGGGGGGGGGGCGCAAAGGAGACACTGCTGAGAAGGAGCCACAACTTGAAAAAAGACTGATTTTTCCTGGCCATAAATCTCATGCCTTGTTCCTCTGCCGAACGAAGCATGATAAAGTCCTTTTCCATAAAGTATTCAGTATTAGAGCCACAAAGCTCCCGCAGTCAGTAGCCATCTGCTTCTACCATAACTGCTGCTTCCGAAGCAGGGAAAGCAGCAGCAGAGAAAGGGCACCACTGTTAGGCTGCTGGACAAATGAGGGGCCTGAATAGCTTGGTTTTCCTTGTGTATCTGTATCTATAGAGACAGGAGAAGAAAGGCCGCATTATATTGATGCAACAATTGTAAAACAAAACACGGAAGAGGCATCTAAAGGGCAATATCGCATGCATCAGGGGTCCCCAGATAAAAGGGGCACTAACAGATTTATAG